GCAGAGAGCGTCTCTCAGCGCCCAGCCCAGCCCGAGCCCTCAACAAGTCAAGTTCTACACCACGGAGAAAAAGGCATAGAGAAATATTCTTTCTGATTGGCAATTCATTTTTACCAAGCAAGTCTTCTTGCCATGAGGTCATAAACTAGACCTCGGTCTTTCTCCTTCACAGGAACTCCTCCATTGCTACTTTGTCAGCCAGAAGCCGATGTCGTAGGGCTCCGTCGCCCTCATAGTTTCCCGCTCAAATGTTGCTCCTACTTCAGCTCCTTCGCAGACACCAGCCCCGTCCCTCCCAACCAAAGACCAGACCTTGCAACTGCTTTATAATAAAAGGAGCCCTAAAGAGGCCTTGGATCCTCCTGGCTCCTCCCATGGCTGACCAGAGTCACCCGCCCGGCTGGAATCTCCTCCTGGGGTGGGTGCTGCCCTGGCCGTGCACACATTCGTAACTGCTGAGCGTCCTAAGTCATCTCCTGCACCATGACGTTACAAGTGATGCTGAACAACATTCGATGCTGCTGACGGTCCTGTCTTCTGCTGTACGGGGTATCTCCCAGGACTCCCAGTGAAGCACAGGTGACACAAAGCACTCCGAGGTGGAAATGTTTCAGGTAACCGAAGACTGGACCATTTAGGAACTGAAGGTAACGACTGTGCCTGAAAACATGAGGCGAGAACCGACTCTGCATTCCTGTGGCCACCCACACCGGGTTATAGCGCTGCGGAGATGGGTGCAAGAAATCCTTTAAAGCACAGGGAGGAACCCAATCACAAAGATAATAATCATAGACTGGCCTAGGCTGGAAGGGACCTTAGAGATCATTTAATCCAGCCTCCCTGTCATGGGCAGGGACACCTCTCAGCTAGATCAGGCAACACATGGGGACCGAGCGGGATGCCAGGAGCTTCGGAGCAGCAGCCAGCCTCCCCGAGGTCACAAGCGCTGCATTGGCCACCTCCCCTCTTCAAGAGCTCAGTAACTGCCTTTCCTTCTGGTCACCCTTGCAGCGTTGGAAGGTGCTTCTAGGAGCAGGGTTTGGCCTCCTCCTGGTGCACACGGGTCCTGTCCTGCTTCCACACTAGGTCCGTGGATACCTTCAAGGGGAAGGAGTTCAGTGAACTGGATTGCTGCTGGAGTTGTCCTGCAGCTGGGTTTCCACAGAGGACCAATGGATGCCAACTGTAATAACAGATTGCTCTAGAGACCTCACATTTTTCACATCACAAATCATCTTTTATTTCTTTTAAAAACAAAAGGAGTTCCTACAGTGATTACAAACCCACTCTGCTCTTCCCATCCCCACCAAACCCCCAGCCATAACAAAGATAATTGACTAATCCAGCCTTGTGAAACATCACGACGAGACATTTCGATGGAAGGGTAAATTTGGTACGTGTGGTACACGACAGAAATAACATCTGCCCTACAGTTCTAGAGGAATTAGCCAAGAAGGAGAGTCATGGTGAAGCAGCAATCGGCCCTGTCTCAGTGAGACACTTTGCAAGTTTACCCTTAAAATGCATAAAAATCCAATTTAAACCATAGGAACTGCGCACAACGGGCTGTGTTCTGCTGCACCTCCCCAAAGTGGGGGCTGCAAGCACTAACTGGGAAATTAAAAACGTCGTCTGAAATCCCTCACCCTCTGTCTCTATAAGACAGGCAAGTCACGCTTTTAACCCTAACGTGTGAACACTGACACGTGTTGGAAAAACTTGTGCTTACGCTTAAAATTATTTACACAGACGCACAAACATTAAGTGGATTTGAACGATGCTACAGCGACATGTCCCGTCAAAACAAATCACCACTTGAATCTACCTAGAAGCTGCCACAAATGGCTCGTAAAGCTGCTGAGAGACAGACAGTTTCCTTCAAAGTAACCGCGCTAACAAACATGCACCCTCTTTCTGGAGCTCAGTCCACAAGGAAGGGGAAGCATCCGTGGGGCAAAGTGCCGAGCTGAGCTCAGCTGGCCTCTGGCTCGCACTTTTTGCCATTTTCTGGTTCACAGCAGGTAATCCCGGACGGGATCTCGGTTTGTTCTGTCATCTTGGCTGCTTTTCCTTTTGCAACGTTTTCTTCGGAGTGGTCACGCTTTACCTTCACATCCATTGGGTCGTCTGTGTCATCTACAGCGAGAAGGAAAGAAGAATTGGAGTTGGCAAATTCTTCTCTGACTCCAGCGCAAACAGCCCGCAATGACAGCAGCGGGTGAAGCTGCAAAGCCAGAAAATCACAGAGTCATTGAATGACCAAGAGCTCATCTCCTCCATGGGCAGGGACACCCTCAACCAGCCCAGGTTGCTCCAGGTTCATCCAACCTGGCCTTGACCATCTCCAGGGAGGGGGCAGCCACAGCCTCTCTGGGCAATCTAGTCCAGAGTCTTGACCCCCTCGCACTGAAGAATTTCTGCCTCAGATCCAATCTGAACCCGTTCTCCTTCAGTTTAAATCCATTTCCCCTTGTCCTATCACTGGACACTCTTGTCAGGAGCGCCCTGCTGGCTCAGGTTGAGCTTCTCATCTACCAACACCCCCAAGTCCTTCTCTTCAGGGCTACTCTCAACCCACTCTGTGCCCAGTTTGAAAATGCTGCTATTCACAGGAAACAAGAACAATGCTGGCAAACAGGGGACTCTGGCTCTGGGACTTTGGCTTTCCACGTCTCCCAGGAGCATTCACAAGAACATTTGCCCCACTACGGAACAGGGTTTGTGGAAGAACTGTTGGTTATATCCGCAAGGGACCAACGTGCAGCCTCCTGGATGCATCAGCACGCACAGGATGGGGAACAATTAACTCCTTCGAGCACAGCCGTCGGGGCAGGAGGACTTAAAACTCCCCTCAGCTGCTGCACGGTGGATTTCTGTAATATATATGGAGGCTGCTGGGGCATACTCTGAAAAACAAAAGTGTTGCTTCACTTCCCTCAGAGGATTCTTCTGGGGCTAAGAGCCCATCGCAGGGCCTAGGATTTCAATTTTAAGAGCTCAGATGCCATAAGTGAAACATCTGTGTGATGAGAAAGGACAAAAGGTAAATTTCTTAGAGCAACTCAGCTCTCAAGCGCTTTTCGTTCATTTGTGGTCAGTGGGAGTCTCAAATAATTCCT